GTTGGGGTTAGAATATCTTTGAATACAATAACTTTGATTGATTACAAGTGCTAGAGATGCATGAAGAGTGTTTAGAAGTGTGGAGAGAGACTTGTTGAAATTGGGTCCCAAATGGGTTAAGAATTCGGAAACATTGCGTTGAACCACAAAATGACTTATCTAGTGTTGTTTGGGGTTAGAATATGTTAGAAAACAATAAATTTGATTGATTACAAGTGCTAGAGATGCATGAAGAGTGTTTTGAAGTATGGAGAAAGACTTGTTTAAATTTGGTCCCAAATGGGCTAATAACTTGGAAACATTGCGTTGAACAACTAAATGACTTTTCTAGTGTTTTTTGGGGTTAGGATATGTTAGAATAAAATTAATTTCATTGATTACAAGTGCTAGAGATGCATGAAGAGTGTTTAGAAGTGTGTAGAAAGACTTGTTGAAATTGGGTCCCAAATGGGCTAAGAACTCAGAAACATTGCGTTCAACCACTAAATGACCTATCTAGTGTTGTTTGGGGTTATAATATGTTAGAACACAATAACTTTGATTGATTACAAGTGCTAGAGATGCATGAAGTGTGTTTAGAAGTGTGTAGAAAAACTTGTAGAAATTGGGTCCCAAATGGGCTAAGAACTCGGAAACATTACGTTGAACCACTAAATGAATTATCTAGAATTTGTTAGAATACAATAACTTTGACTGATTACAAGAGCTAGAGATGCATGAAGAGTGTTTAGAAGTGTGTAGAAAGACTTGTTGAAATTGGATCCCAAATGGGCTAAGAACTCAGAAACATTGCGTTCAACCACTAAATGACTTATCTAGTGTTGTTTGGGGTTAGAATATATTAGAATACAATAAATTTTATTGATTACAAGTGTTAGAGATGCATGAAGAGTGTTTAGAACTGTGTAGAAAGACCTGTGTAAATTTTGTCCCAAATGGGCTAAGAACTCGGAAACATTGTGTTGAACACTACAAGAAAACAGGCAAAATGCGACTACGATTACCGACTATATCTATAGTCGCTTATTTAGCGGCTATAAGACAACTCAGTAGCGACTACATACCGACAATATTTTCCGTAGTCGTTAAATAGTCGGTAAGTAGCGACTACAAGAACTGGTCGTCACATAGTCGGATATTAACGACTAATAGGAGACTATATATTGTAGGTCGGTAATTTGTCGTCGACTAGTACGTAATTTGCGACCAGTTCACGATGATATATTTTAGTCGTTGTTTTGACGACTATTCAGCGACTACACAAGTTTGTCGTCCACTAATCAGCTAGTAGTTGATATATCAAGGTTTTTACGGCTTTTAACCGTGATATAAGTGCTTTTTATCGAATCTTTCTATACTTTTTAGGGTCTTTTGGAGTCTTTTCAGGTGTAGGAGTTATTTCACGATGATTGGATCAAAATGGAGTGATTTGGAGCTTATTGGAGCAAAGGAGCCGAGTAACCTGTCTTGGAGACGTTCTGTGAAGGAGTGTCGATCGACACCACCTAATAGTGTCGATCGACACCATGTGCCTGACGAGAGATTTCGAGTTTTCCAAGTTTTGAAGATTTACAAAAGTTGCTCAGAGTTTTCCCAAGTTGCGACATTGGTCCCTGACGTGTTTTGGACATATTTAAGTACTTTTTAGGTTTTAGAAAGAGGGGCGGAATATTATTGAAAAACCTTGAGAGCTTTTGGAGAGAGAGTTCAGAACTCCCTGTAGAGAGAAGATTTCAATACTCCTTTGTTTCTCTATTCAGTTTTCTAATTGATATTATTCAGTTCATGATGTTTGTTTCCTACATAATGTCTGAGTAGTCTTCTTTGTTAGGGTTGGGGATTCTCATTAGGGTTTTCATGACTTGTTAGGTAGATTTGTTAGATTAGGATTCACCATCTGAATTGTTCTTCACCATAGGTTGTTCTTAATGCTAGTTTTAGATTGATCACCTAAAGTCTAGATCTAGGGTCAATTAATTTGACATGAGAGTGTAATTAATTACTTGAAAGAACCTAGGGTGAGCAAAATACTTATTCGCAAAGAGATTTGGTTCAGGGATTTTGTGAGCATATCAAACTTGAATGTTAGTGCTGGTTTAAAATTTTAGGATTTAGCAAAGAAATTTGGAGTTCTAGTTTTAAACTTAGATAATCATCGCAGCGAAAGCTGGTAGATTTTACATGAGTGATTTGAGTTCAAGAATGGCGCTTAATCTGAATCCTAATTTATTAATTTATTTAATTTGATTGATTACTGAGAACCCCCGAGCCTAGCGTTTTCTCATATTGTTTTAAAACTTAATCTTTATTTTAATTTGCTGTTTTTAATATAAAACCTTGCTAGCTTAGCTTAATTTAATACCGAATATTTATTGTGTAATCGTTGAGTCTCTTAATTGAGAGAGTAGCTCAGGGCAAATTTGAGCTGATCAAATTTTGGCGCCGCTGCCGGGGACTCAATTTTGATTACCATTAGATTAAGGTTAAAAGTTTAGTCTAAGTTTTTAATTTTATTTTGTTACTTACGTTTTCTTTTCTCTTTTCTTTTTGGTGTTTCAGTTTATGCCTTATACCAGAAGCCAGCAGAACAAAGAGTTAGTTGATCTCAACAATTCAGAAATAGCAGGGTTAGAAAGAGGAATTCGAAAAGCTAAGAAAAGGGCAGCAATGGCACCACCAGTGATTCTAATTCAAGATGCTGAGGGTACTCTCAGAGATGGAGATGGCCATGTGAGGAATGCACAAGGGCAGAAGCTGAATGCTGACGGGACTGTAATTCCTGAACCAGTCCCCGGTGGTGTTGAGCGACACCAGGCGGGTGTCGATCGACACCAAGCCGCAGCTGACAATGCACATTTGGCGTTGAATGCTGAAGCAGAGGATGAGAACAGTACACTTGGAGAATACAACAGGCCTGCTCTGTTCGATTCTAACCGCTCTGCTATACGTCCTCCTGCATTTTAAAGGAACAACTTTGAGTTGAAGCCTGGTTACTACACTCTTGTGGGACAACACCCTTTCCATGGCCACACTCATGAGCACCCGATGGACCATATTGAGAAGTTTGAAGATCTAGTATCTAGCATCAAGGCTGATGGTGTATCTTTGGATTTCCTGCTCTGCAAGCTTTTCCAACACTCTTTAGCTGGAGAAGCACTATCATGGCTCAAGGAGTTGAAGCCTGCATCTCTTACGTGCTGGGAGGATGTGAAAGTTGCGTTCTTGAACAATTTTTATGATGATGCAAGGTCCGAGGATCTGAGGAACAAGATTTCTACTTTCTCTCAAGGAATCTCTGAGACATTCAAGGCTGCTTGGGTGCGCTTTAAGGGGTATCCGAGAGATTGTCCCCACCATGGATATGACAAATTTCAGCTTTTGGGCATTTTCTACAGAGGATTGGATTGGAGGTATCAGATGGCTTTAGATGCTGCTAGCAACGGTAACTACAACACACGGTCTCCAGCTCAAGCCACCAAGCTGATCGAGAACTTAGCTTCCAGCAATAGTACCAAGGTTGCTGATTTTGAGAGAAAGAAGCTAGCTGAAAACATGGAGGGACTTCAACTTGCTGAAGTCAAGGCGAAACTTGATTCTGTGCATCACCTTCTTGTTAATAAGAAGAATGTTAAGTTTGCTGCTGAAGTTGAGGCTTTTGAACCAGAAGAGGATGAAGAAGAAGACGTGAACTACGTTAATGGTGCTGGTATCAGGGTCAGAAGTTTAGTAACGCACAAGGAAACCGGTTCAACAG